CTGGGAAACCATAAAGTCTATATACTGCTTCTGCTTCGGAAGGGTTGGCCAATTCTGGTGGAATCTCATTGGGCCAATCTCTATTTGTCGTTGGCAGTCATCACCTTACTCTTATATTTAGAATACGATGTGCCAGGCGCTGTGCTAATTGCTTTGTAAGCATCCATCCTATGGGGTAAGTGCTATTATCCCCATTTTACAGTTGAGAAGACAGAGACTTGAAGAGGAGAAAGAACTCGGAGTGGCAGAGGGGAGCCTCAAGCCCATCTGATTTCCAAGCTCCTGCTCTCACTAGGTCACTCAGGGATCTCTGTAGCTGTCTGTCTCTGTGTAGGTGAGTTCATTCTAAGGACCCCCTTTTATCTAGAACTCTGGGCTCCCCCTCTCTGATTGCAACGTCCTTATTGTTGCCTCTCCTTCATAGAGGAATTTTTCATTGCCCACAGGCACAGGGGTTTGTCTTCTACACGCCTCATGTCTTTGACCCATTGTCCACAGGACTCCTACATCGGAGTTTGCTCGTTCACCAGCTATTATCGAGGAACGCCTCTTTAGTGGCTTTTCCTCCTCTCACTTACATTCAAAAAGGTCCTCCTTCTGCTCTAAATTTCCACCTGGAAGGAGGGAGTGAGCATAGAGGAGGTGGAGGACAAAGCATGTCCCCCCCCACCCCCCCACCACACACAGACCAAGTGTGGCTGGTGCTGGTGAGCAAGGAATGAGCCAGAGTCCTGTGCTTAGAAACGAGAGAGTGCTGGGCTCCAGCCTCAGCTCTGTCTCTACCTGTGGGATCTGGAGCAAGGCCCTTTCTTCTCTGGGCCTCAGTTTCCCCTTCTCCAGAAAGAGGCAGCAAGGTTAGATGGCTAGTAGTTCTTATTTTATAAGTGGCCAGGTATCTGTGCTCTCCTGGGAAGGGGAAGCAAGAAGGGAGGAGGGAAGGAGGGGGGATGAAGAGGGTTTCATGAGGAAGTGGCTTCAGGGCAATAGGACAGGGGCTGAACAGCCCAGCCGGGCTCGGGAGGGCCTGGAGAGGACAACAGACAACTCCTATTACCCCCGCCACAAAGCTGGGAAGGTGTCACTCTGAACTTTGATCTTCCCGGTTCTGGCCCACGGTTCTGGATAGGCTGTCAAAATGACTTAAATGGATTTTTAAAAATTTTTCATTTAATTTTATATTAAAATCACTGAATGTTCTTTCGAAAAGATTAGAAAATACATATAAGCCAAAGAGCAAGGAATCGAGACCAACAACCTTCAGACTTCTTTAGCCTTATACCTCCAGCAAAGAGCTCTGAGCACCCGTTCCCAATTGACTAATAAGTTATATACATTCTAAAACCCACTAAAGTGGGCGCCTGGGTGGCTCAGATGGTTAAGCGTCTGCCTTTGGCTCAGGTCATGATCCCAGGGTCCTGGGATCGAGTCCCACATCGGGCTCCCGGCTCAGCGGGGAGCCTGCTTCTCCCTCTGACCCTCTCCCCTCTCATGCTGTTTCTCTCTCGCTCGCTCTCTAAAAAATAAATAAAATCTTTAAAAAAAATAAATAAATAAAACCCACTAAAGTGCCAATTAAGAAAGATAACAAGAAATAACGCCAGTGGAGTGCGGGGGCACCGAGGCCCCTTTGGGAGACCACTGGCCTAAACTCGTTAGTGTTCAGCTGCACGGATGCGAGTTCCTACGGAGCAGAGCTCTACGAGGCTCCAACCACAAATGTCACACATGTTTCTTGGGCTAAATGAATGAAATGATGAATGGGGAAGGGGGTGGGGAGGGAGCACAGGACGAGTGTGGGAAGAGGGGAGCTTGGCTCTGAGCTTTGGCTGTATGGTGATTCACTGACATTTTCGGCAAGACTTAGACTCCTCGGGAGCAAGCTTTACACTTCATCTGCCAAGCCGGGCCCTTCAGAGCTTGGCAGGCCTTGTTTCTGCAATGCTGAGGTAGCAGCTAATAGTTGAAAAACCACAAGATCACAGAAAGTCAAGACTGAACGTGATTGGAGCCTATCTAGGGAGATGCCCAGAAAATCAGCTCACCCCCAAAGTTGACGTGCCCCGAATCTCAAGGTTTGTGGTTAGTAGGAAACCCTCATGGTAGAAAGTGGGAGCACCTGCAGGCATTGAAATATGTTGAGAAAATCCAGTTTGCTTAATGAGCTCTCAGCCATTGAAACCACAGCAAGATGCTGTCGGGAGGACTCCGGTTTTCTGAGAAGGGTCCATCCCCTCCCTATGATGCCTGATGAGCAGCTCCCCCCTCCCCCCATGCAGTTGCAAAGTTTCCGTCATGGGTTTCAGGAGCTGTGGGGCTATGGGGGGCGCTCACTGAACCCTGTTGATAAGAGCATAGAACACTCACCCTAAACCTCACATCCCTACAGCGTGTGTGTGTTGGGGGCGTGTTAGCGGGCAGTAAGCATGTAGACTAGTTTAGTTCACTTCCTGACACATAGGTTTCAATCAAGGGTAATTCCCTTGCCCTCCTTCTGTGGCTTTGCCCTGGCTGCCACCTCCATCCCCGAAGCCCTCAAAACCTGTCCAAATTCCACCTCCTTGCCTGCCCAGTTCGAATCCCTGGAATCTCGGGAGCAAGTGCCTCTTCTTCCAAATTCCTTCAGCACTCACTGTCCGGACCGTGCAATTTAGGACTTAATTACAGCCGGCCTTGCATTGTCCTCTAATTGTTTCCCTGTGTTTGTGTTGTCCCACCCTTCGCCCCCATTAATTGCTGAGCACCCTTGGCCCCGAGGGGGTGGTGTGCCGAAGCCAGGAAGGCTGGACTCAGTCCTCCCAGGGCCCAGTCCAGTTCAGTCCCGGACACGGCGTGTAGCTGAGCTCTCAGCTTCAGTTTCACCAACTGCAACGCAGAGACAATGACTCCAGCTCACTGGGCGGTTGCTGGGGATAATGGTGCGAAAGCGTGAAGATGTAAACGTTGTATGAACGTACAGGGCTGTTATCATCATCTCTGTTGAATCCACCAGAGGCCCCCCCCCACCACCACCTCCCCTGCCTGGTGGAGTGTAGATGATAAATACCTGATGGATTGAATACGGAATGGCTTTGTGACCACTCCTGTCATCAGCTCCAGAGAGCACGGGTTTGCGCCTAATCCTGCAATTACTCCCTTCGTTGACAATGCAGAATCTCCTGCATTCTCTAAATCCCCGAGAACCCTCAGCCTTCGGCTGATAGAGCAGGGGCTGCCGCCTCGTGGAGAACAGAACCGCACCCGCAATCCCCAGGCTGCAGCATAGAGCCCTCGACGGGGCAGCGCCCGTGGCCCGGGGGAAGCCGTTCCTTTCACCGAGGTGGTGGTGGAGGACAGTCCTTCCAGGCACCGCGCTGCAGAGGACTCAGCAAGCCCAAAGGAACACCCATCCTTTCTGCTCAAGGTATCACAGCATCAGTGGGGGTGTACTGAATATTCCCCGGCCTCACTTTATAAATGTGAAGGAGGAGTGTGCACACAGCCGCCACCACAGGCAGTGAGAAAGGGCAGCAATGTCTTCGGGAAGCTTTGATAAGAAGCCAGGCAGTTACTTTCCCCCCATCTATGTGGAAAACTCTGGCTTAGGCTTGCTGGCAAATGCCATGCAAAGCTCAGCTTTTGTTAAGTCTGCCGAACAATGTTATTGGTTATAATTGGGGCAATTATGGGCTGCTCGAGGAAGCGAAACACAGATGTTTAAGCCCAGGATCAGGGTATTCAAGTCCAAAGCAGCTTGCTTTAAATAGTCCATTTCCCGAATCATCCTGCTTTACTTGAAATTCCCCCAGAACTTACCCATGTTCAGAGTGAGATGGGCAGAGGAAGGGATGGGTAATGAAGGGAGGGGAATGGAGACATGCAGAGAGAGAGAGGGTGTGTGTGTGTGAGAGAGAGAGGGAGAGAGGGAGAGAGAGACGCACAAAGGAGACAGAAAAGGAAGCTGAGAAAGAGCAAGAGTTTGGAGGACTTCTGAACGTCATATTCAGCAGGACTTAGCAGAGACCGTTAAGTGGGAGAGATGGGCAGGAGGAGAAACATGCAGAGAAAGAGAAGAAACCACCCCTTAATTCAGGGTCTGGGAGTCCAAGGTCATCCCTGCAGAAATCTACGTGGATCGCACACACAGCGGCCGCGTTCAGCACTGTACTGGTTGAGCACAACGCCCCGGTTCCCACTTTCCCCCACATCATTACTAGCAATTTCTCTTCAGTGCATAAGGGAGAAGGGTTCCCTCAGGACGGAAAAACCCAAATCCAAATCAAGTTCGATGGTATGTTGAAAACCAGCCTGAATGCACTCCGAGGGAAGGAAAGAAAGGAAGTCAGCCACATAGAGGACTCGCTCACAAGGGTGCCCTGAAAGGCGAGCCCCCTGCCCCAGTGCCTGCTTCTCACCTAATCTCACTCCTGCATCCACCTTTTCTCAGCAGATAAAAACGACATAGTCGGGGCCACATCTGGGGAATCAAAACTTTTCCTCATTTCCAAGTTCAGCTATTTTTTCTTCTGCATCTCTCTTCAGGATAAAAACCTCAGCCCTCCCCTCCCACCCCCTATCTGAGCACTGAAAGTGAGACGAATGGAGAAATAATTTTCCGGGAGGCCAGCAGCATCCACCCTGGACAAAGGAGAGAGGGTGAGGAGAGAGCCCCCGGCTGTTGCGCTCCTTCCCCGGGCTCCCAGCTGTTTGTCTTGGGGCTGGGGTTCGCATGCAGTTGCCTACCTGAGAGCTGTCAGTAGCCTGGCTCCTTCGGATGTGAGGCTCGGTTCCGCCGTATCAGCCACACCAGCATATATATATATCCTCCCCCCCACCCCACGCACAGCCCTCCCCTTCCCTGCCCACCTCGATGACACATCCACACGCTGACCCCCTTAATCAAGCGAGCAGCAGAACCTACAATGCTCCCTGGCTGCTCCCTGCCGCCCCCCACCCTGGCTCTGTGCTCAGACCTGTGACACCCCAACCCACCCCCCATCCATCCATTCTCGAGACTGCTTTACCTGGACTCTGTTCAGCCAGGATCCCACAGCTGCCTTCCCTTTGCTTCCAGAGGCACAGCAAGGACTGATGGGGAGCTCTGGCAAATCAGTCAGAAAAAAAAAGGCCCCTGGTGACAGTGATGAGGCAGACCCCAATCCTGGAGTCTCCTTGAACAACCTTTTTTGCCTGAGGAGTAAAGAATAGGAAGAGGGCAGAAGGAGGGGGATCTCACGCCAAGCTCCCACCGGCACAGAGAAGCCCAGAGCTGAGCTAAGCCAAGCCCCCTCTACTGTCCCTGCCCCACAGGCAGCAACAACTAGGCCCCTCAAGGGAGAGGCTCTTACCTGCCCTGGGTCACGTCAGGAGGCATTTTCACAGGCGCCCACAGCACGACACGATGTAAAACGCTGAGCCTTTACACTCAGAAGGAAGTGTCTGAAATTCTGGCTCTCACCTGTCAGAGCAAGTTACTTCTCTCGGGGAACCTCGGGTCCTCCTCCTGTAAAATGGGTATGATACCTCCCAGGACCGTTGTGAGTAGAAAAACGAGATTCTGTTTGTATTTGGAACATAGGAGACCTTTAATAAATGAGTTCCGCATCCCCTTCATCATTCTCACATTAGATAATACCCACCGAATCTAAAAATCCCCTGTCAACATCTAGTGTCACAACAGAGTACTTCCAAAGCTGTTGCTGAACCTTAAGATGTCACCCCCCTGCCCCCCCCCCCGCGTGCCTTGGAGTCTCAGAAGCTGTTGACAATGCCCTTGCCGCTCAGGGCGGACCCCCCTTCCCTTCCCCGTGGGGAGGTAGTTCACGGTCAGCCCAGGCAGGCAATGTTTAGATCCCCAGCATCCTTGTGGACCCCTCCTTTCTTTGCCCTAGGCAAATTGCAACATGACCTCCTCCTCCTCGGCTCTCCCAAGAAGATGTAAAAATATTCCAGAATCCCAAGGTTTGCGTCTATGTCATGCAAGGAGTTCAAGTACCCTCTCGTGTGGCAAGTCTGGCTCTCTCATGGACCTGAGAACGGCGGGGAAGGATGAAAGAAAGCATCTGCTTTGCCTGCTAATGGCATGGGGTTTTTTTGTTTGTTTGTTTGTTTTTTTCTGGGAGGGGGAGGTGATGGAAATGTTCTGGAATTAGTGCTGAGGGTTGCACAACATAGTGGATATACTAAAAACCACTGAATTATATCCTTTAAATAGTGAATTTTATGTTATGTAAATTACATCTCAATAAAAAAAATAGAAAGCAAGCAAGTAAGCACCTGCCTCAAGTGAAGAGCCACAAGTTCTAAGAATAAAACTTCCCTCCCATCTGTATTCACAGCAAAAGGAGACCAACACGGGCGCCTGGGTGTCTCAGTTGGTTAAGCGACTGCCTTTGGCTCAGGTCATGATCCTGGAGTCCCGGGATCGAGTCCCACGTTGGGCTCCCTGCTCAGCGGGGAGTCTGCCTCTCTCTCTGACCCTCCCCCCTCTCATGCTCTCTATCTCATTCTCTCTCTCAAATAAATAAATAAAATCTTAAAAAAAGGAGACCAACACACCCATGATTTTCCACTTAGACCTTGATTGCCCAAAGCTTACACTTTGTTATTACAGGTCAAAGGCACCATTGTGAACTCAGAAATTAGCATGACATGTGGTCAGTTTTGCATCCTGATGTATGTGGGGATCCTAGGCCTGGAGCTTGTTTTCACACACGCTGGGGCAGATATTCTGGACTGCCTTCCCAATTGTCCTTCCTTACTAAACAGTTCCCTCGGTGGCAACGTGTTCTGCTAAAAGGCTCCATTTCGCAGCCTTCCTTGCAGCTAAAGGTAGCCCGTGAGAATCAAGCTGCTAGTCATTGGGTGGGACTTCCAGGAAAGATCTTCTAAAGGGGGCCAATTCAATTAGAAGACGCCTCTTCTTTGTCCTCCTTCCTGTCTGCCTGGAACAGGAATGTAATGGCTGGAGCTCTACTAGCTATCTTGGGTCATAAGACAATTTTGAGGCTGAAAGCCATGGACTAAAGATGATGAAGCATAAAAACAGAATGATTCTGGGTCCCTCATAAGTATGGAGCTGCCATGCCAATCCTGGATGTCCAACCTCCAACTTTTTTTTTTTAAAGAGAAAACCCTCATATCTATTTCAAATATCAGGGTTCAGTTAGCTGTTGCTACATAACAAGCCACACCAAAGCCAGAGGCTTGAACAACAAATCCTTTATTTGGCTCGTGAGACTGCAAATTGGCAATTTAGGCCGGGGTCAGGAAGGTGATTCTTTTGGCTCAGTTTGGCTTCCTCGTCGATCTGCAGTCAGCTGCGTGTTGGCTTCAAGAGGTTGCTGCTGTCAGCGGGGGGCACCTTGGTTCTCCATGGGTCTTATCCTTCGCCTTCACATGTCTCTGGTATCCCTTCAACAGGCTGGTCTGGCATGGTCTCCCAGCAAGGCTGAGGGGCAAGCCCCAGCAAGTTCAGTCAAGCGAGGAAACAAGGTAGTATCCTTTGAGGCCCAAGCTCAGAGCTGGCGTCCCATTGCTTTTGCCACATTTACTGGCTCAAGGCAGTCACAAGGGCAGTCCAGAGCCAGGGTGGGTGGAGACTACAAAGTCCCAGGACAGAGGGGTGGTTCTACAGGGGCTGTTCACTGGAGCCATTGATAACTTTATTATTTTTAAAGATTTTATTTGAGAGAGAAAGGGAGAAAGCGAGCACAAGCTGGGGGGAGGGGCAGAGGGAAAGGGAGAAGCAGACTCCCTGCTGAGCAGGGAGCCCAACACAGGGTTCCATCCCTGGATCCTGGGGTCAGGACCTGAGCTGAAGGCAGACGCGTAACGGACTGGGGCACCCAGGCGCCCCTGAGCCGTTGATAACTTTAATCTACCATGTTTTGTTTAAGCTGCTGGTTTGAATTTTTTGTTACATCCAGTAAGGAAATCATCTGAAATGATATACCTGCCTTTGAGCACCTAGTCATTCCCAGAGTGTTTGGTAGCCGGGTGCTGTGCTCCCCGTGCAGTGGAGGGAAAGACAAAGCAAGGGTGAAAAGTCACAACTTCTCTGAACTTTTCTGTCCTCATTTACCAAATGAAAGAGTTGAACAAATTGACCTGGGAGTTCTATTTGGGTTCAATGAAGCTACATATTCTGATAGGCTGTCTCCTCTAAGGCATGGAGGGGAAGGGCAGGGATGAATCTAGGGAGAGACTTTACAACTGTTGCTGTGTGGGGGATATAAGAACCTTGCCTCTTGGGAAAGCCAGAGCGAATTAGAAAGGGTGCAAATTCGTGGTCCTTGCAATCACGTAAAGGCTTTCTCCTGAGCACTTTGCCCCCGAATCACGGCACCTGCAGGCCCATGGGCTTCCCTCAGGTGTGATAACTGCTCCTAGGGAAGCAAGCTGCCCTCTGTTCTTCTGACAGTATGCATGAATTAACATCGTTGGAGAGGAGAGGTGACAGAGCCTATTTCTAGTGATTAGGAGGCCAGAGTTGTTCCCTTCCGCTCATGCCAGCTTGCTATCCTCTGGCAAGACAGACACCCAAGCTAAGGTGGATGCAAGAATTAGACTCCATTCCGTTCATATGGGTAAGTTTTGAGGCAGCCTTAGAAGCTCTTAAAACAGCCACCAGAAGATTTCAGTAGAGGGAGCATGAGGGGAAGAAGGCAGTCGGAGCTGGGCTCCCACACTGAACTCCTGGAGCTCCCCCCACGCCCCCCGCCAGCAATTTTCCCCTCTCATAGTAAACAGCCTGTCACCATCAGGTATTTGGCCGCTCAGAATTTACTGATTAGTTACAGCACCTACAGCCAATTGGTCTCCTTAGTAACCACGCGAGCAGGGTCCCAGCTGGAAAAGCTGCTTCTTATTTCCCTCTTCACATTTTAAAACACCTCCAATCTGGACACAAACAGACTTTTATTTATTTAATTAATTTTTTTTTTTTAAAGAGAAAAACAGTGTCCCCATTGCTACACAGAAATTTATTAAGTCTACGTTTTTCTTTTTTTTTAAATTAAAGTACAGTTGACACACAATGTTACATTAGTTTCACACAGTGATTCAACAACTCTGTACGATATGCTGGGCTTACAGTGTAGCTAGCGTCTGTCTATGACAACACCATTGACTATATTCCCTGTGCTGTACTTTTCATCCCCAAGACTTATTCATTCTGTAACTAGAAGTCTATACCTCCCACTCCCCTTCACCCATTTGCCCATCCCCCCACTCCCCTCCTCTCTGGCAACCACCAGTTTGTTCCCTGTATTTATAGGTCTGTTTCTGCTTTTTGTTAGTTTATTCATTTTTTTTTTAAGATTCCACTTATAAGTGAAATCATATGGTATTTGTCTTTCTCTGTCTGGCTTATTTCACTTAGCATAATACCCTCTAGGTCCACTCATGTTGTTGCAAATGGCAAGATCTCATTCTTTTTTGTGGCTGAGTAATATTCCAGTGTATATAAATCCCACATCTTCTTTAACCGTTCATCTATGGATGGACACTTGGGTTGCTTCCATATCTTGACTATGGTAAATAATGCCTCAAATAAACATAGGGTGCATATATATTTTTGAATTAGTGTTTTTGTTTTCTTTGGGTAAATACTCAGTAGTGGAATTACTGAATCATAGGGCAATTCTATTTTTAATTTTCTGAGGAAACTCTGTTTTTCTCCACAGTGACTGTACCAGTTTGCATTCCCACCAATGTGGGTTCCTTTTTTCTACACATCCTCACCAACCTTGTTATTTCTCATCTTTTTGATTCCATTCATTCTGTTAAGCGTAAGGTGGTATCTCATTGTGGTTTTGAATGCATTTCCCTGATGATTAGTGATATTGAGCATCTTTTCATGTGTCTGTTGGCCATCAGTCTTCTTTGGAAAACTGTCTATTCAGGTTCTCTCTATTTTTTTTTTTTAAGATTTTATTTATTTATTTTGACAGAGAGACAGCGAGAGAAGGAACACAAGCAGGGGGAGTGGGAGAGGGAGAAGCAGGCTCTCTGCTGAGCAGGGAGCCCGATGTGGGGCTCGATCCCAGGACCCTGGGATCATGACCTGAGCCGAAGGCAGACGCCCAATGACTGAGCCACCCAGGCACCCCCAGGTTCTCTATTTTTAACTGGATTATTATTATCATTTTTTGGTGTTGAGTTGTATAAGTTCTTTATATACTTTGGATACTAACCCCTTATTGGATATATCATTTGCAAATATCTTCTCCCATTCAATAGGTTGCCTTTTCATTTGTTGATGAT